TGATAAAAATATTTTACTTTAGACTTATATCTCCAACCTTCCAAATTATATTATAAGAGATTGTCTGTTCAATGTTTGAGCAAAAAGATAAAAAACTATATCACAAATTAAACTTAAGGTAAATATGCAGAATAACGGACCACCCTCCGATTTTAATAATCTTTGGATATATTATACAGTTGACCATCCTGGATAATATTCAAGAGATTTTAACCGTCACTCGTTGTTCATTAAAAAGTTATCAACAAAGAAAGTGTAATGAATATAATATAATTTTCTGATACTATATATACTGATATTGTAGTTTCGTATTGTCATGTTGTTCAATAAGTGAAAGTTGTTTTGTTTACATTTCTTAATGAAATAAGTTACTGTTGATATTAGATATATGACTTCTACAACATATGTTGAGGTAATCGGAGGATGGTCCGTTATTCTGCATAATTACCAAACTTAATATAAATAAATATAACTTATATAAAATAACTTAATATAAACATAACTTAATATAAATAACTTATATAAAAATTATAACAAGGTAAAAAATTATATCTCACAAATTAAACTTACTTGACTTTGCGCTCTTCTGCCTTGCCTGGCTTGGTACGCTGGGCTCTATCACCCATACGTGTACCATCCAGTTTCCCAACGAGGGACATAACTTCTCCAGTGGCCTCATCTCTGCTGCGTCTTTCTATTAAGCGGACGTCAGCTTGTAAAACGAGATTAGAATTCTGAAATCATTCATGTAAATTTTACAAATACAACATTACACAACCTATCATTAGTATGGCAATTAAATATAGCATTGATAATATAGCATCGACTATAACAGATACAGATGCGTTGAAAAAATTGGAGAGAGAAATTATTATATCAGGAAATTAAGGACAAATATGTAAGATACAAACCGCTTTATACTCGTATTGCAGTTGACGAGCCGCAGCATCCGCCATGATTGTATGGCTTCTGCAATAGAATGATCATGGAATACGTGTCGAGTAGTAAGAAGCGAAGCGAGTGTTGTTGTTGTTGTTACTATAGTCGTGAAACTAGTTCATTGACCACCTAAGTAAAACATAAATCACAAACAGCAATATAAATTCCAATCTTGCAACAATACGTAATTAGTTCCATCCAAATTATATCCTTCTATTAATTCTCCGAAAGAAAAGAGATAACTCCTTGAAAGCACCTTCGTTGCTACTAAACACTATATCATCAAGGGCTGCGTTCAGATTCCTTACCCGGGTGCACTCTAATACAAGAAGTGCTATAGTATATGTGACATATACTATAGTGTTTCTAGTAACAGAGTGCACCCGGGTAGGGAATCTGAACGCACCCAAGAATGATAGGTTCAATTCCTCAGACGTTGCGTAGACCAATCCTCAGTAAGTCCGACTCACGCTGATTACGCGGGCAATTTAAAATTACATGTTCAGAAGTCTCTGGCAGACCACAAACACAAAGCGGTAGGTCACAGATATTTTTATCATATAAATGTTGCGCTACTTGTGTATGATGAGTCCACAAACGTGATACCATGGTTATAATTTCTCTATTGAGATGAGCATGTTGTAAAAACCAAGGCTCCAAAAAAGCGAGTGTTAAGCCAGCGGCACATGCTTGTTTCGTGCTGGATTGCTTGCTGGACGGAAATACACTATTCTGATTGGTCCGTCTTCAGAAATGCACCAATCAGAACAGAGTATTTCTATCCAGCAAGCAATCAGCACGAAACAAGCTACGTATGCCGCTGGTTTTAAAATTATGATACGTGCTGATTGGTTGGATTTGAATTTTTACTGCTCAATGTTGGTTACGGTAGTGAACCAATCGGCGAAGATGACCGACATTTTAATTAGGGGCAAGGAGAATCTCAAGGGTTTTGACATGAAGGTAGCAACAATGGCCCGATGCGATAAAGTACTAATTACCCTATCTCTTGAAAATCCTTTAAAATTAATGCACACTCAAAATTAATGTACAATAGAATGAGAAAACTATATTTGTCTCACTTCAATATATTGCACCAGTTCATCAGTGTAGCTACAAAGAACAGGCCTCTTGTGCTATGAGAGGAGTTTTATCTGTATATCTGTCTGTTTTTAAGTTTCGAAAGTCTATAATAGTTCAGCAATAGAAAACAAATCCTTTATCTAAAAGAGAATCCACATCTTGGCAGAAGTGCAATAAATTAGAATAAAAGAAAATCTGCTTATTTCACTCTAACTTATTGCACTAGTGCAGAAGTTTCTTGAAAACGAACAGATCTCGGTTTCCACGGCAACGACATTGTCAACAAATCTAACCTATCAGTCATTTTGCGTTATTTCCATATTTATGAGCAAGAGAAGTGAATAAAAAAATCACCGAACGAGTAAATGGGCATCGCCGTTTTCAAATCGCGTTCTGTCGCGTGGAAACAATTAAGAAATAATGTAATTTGTCAACGATTCTTGCATGTTGTTCAGCACAATAGATGCCGCGGCACTTTTTTCGTGCAGTTAGACGATGAATGTAAATAGCACGCTTATCGTTGTATTATTGCTTTAAATTTTAAATATTTCATCGATTTTATATGAAAAGTTCAATTATGTATTTATTCATTTATTGACCAGCTCGAGCAGTATTGCAATATGAAACTAATGAAAGAGTCTTACGTATGCAATTCATCATTGTTCCTGATAAATATAAAGGCCAAGGCTTAGCAAGACTCTTAGCAGAGGTATTAAAATCCTATGCTCTAACTTTCAATTATATGGAATATTTTCAAACATAGTAATTTTGATACTTAAAATATATACTTTATATAGACAGCATTCACATATGCTATAGTGAACAATTATTATATGTTCTTACAATGCAAGTATCTACAGAAGTATTATCTCACGGTGAAAAATTTTGATTTGGAAAAACATATTATTGGACCACGTGACATCCTGGAGGGTCCCAATTCTCTGCCTTTGCATCCTGATGTTGTTTATGAACTACCAGAACCCAAAGATTCTTAATTCTAATTATAATAATGTAAAAATGTTAAATCTAAGTTTTTAAGTATGTAAAAATTTAGAGAATTAAAAGTTCAGAAACTTAAAATCACACAAATACTTAAAAAAAAAGTTTTATACACTCTACGTAATATAATACATAATTCTAATCTATATTATTCCAGTATCAATTGAAAGATTTAAGTAGAAGAGATATATAGACAAGGAAACAATGGAAGAAACAGAGTATATAGCTTTGATTGAGTGGTATTGTCATCAGCACTACTACAATGGAATGTTGGCACAAGCCAAACAAGCGCGTGATGCTTATCCAAGCAATGAACAACTAAAGCTTTTGCTCTGCTTGGCGTACGCTCTCGTTGGCAAGAACCATGAAGCTATCAAGGAGAGCTCGAGTTTGCTGAATTATGCAGACTTCACATTAGCGGCTCTCCATGCGCAAAACGTCGCTTATGCAACTGATGGAAGCACCGAGAGAAGCACTATAGCTCAGGTAGAAAGCAGGATCCGGGAGGAGCGCAGGAAGGCTTCCTGCAACGCGCTGTGTCTCGCAGCGTCTGTATTATTCCTTTCCCGCCGTGCGGACAAGGCGAAGGAGTATACAGATAGAGCGTATAAACTGAAGCCGACGAACGTTAACGTGCTGCTCATTAAAGGATGGGTAGAATCGAGATTGGGCTCCAGTACGGATGCTTCAGAACAAGCACAGCGCTTCTTCGAGTTGGTCTTGAAGGAGGAGTCCAGGAACCTGAGCGCGTCGTTGGGCCTCGCGAAGATGAAGCAACGTGCTGGTGATCACTCGGAGAGTATCTCGATACTCAACTCTTTGATCGTGCGCTACTCCAAGTCACCAGTGCCGCTGGTAGAGAAGATGAAGTGTCTCTTAGCCGCGAAAGACTGGGAGCAGATGTTAGAGATGGTGAACAGAATATTAGCCGTTGAATCCAACAACCTGGACGCCATGAAGGCGAATTCCGTAGTGGCTCTTTGCAGAGACGGCAACACTAACGAGGGTGCACGGCAATTGCAATTGTTCCTACGCCACCTACTACTTGCCGAGCCGAAGAACGTGTTCCTGCTTATCGAGAACTTGCAATTGTTCTCAGGAATTGCGTTCCAAGACCACGCGATACTTGCGGAGCTGGCGCGGGCGGCCGAGAAGACGCTGCAAGCGTCAACGTCAAGCAACGCGGAGCTGATGGCGGAACTCGGCGATCTTTATGCTGCTCTCGGTAACGCCAAGGACGCTGAGCATTGGTACAGAAGTACTATACGCGCAGACGAGTCGTCTTTCGCAGCTCTCATGGGTCTGGCTCGCTGTCAACTGCTGGAAGGCTCAGTGGAGGCTTTGGACTTGGCGCGTCAGCAGGTGGACTTTCTCATGGAAATACAGCCGCACGCCATAAACGTGCGACTGCTGCTCATGTCGGCGAAGATTGCGTCCGGCGAAGGCGCCAGCAAGTCGCTCGGTTACCTAGATGCAGCTGCTAACGTTTTGCTGAAGAATTGCGAGGGTCGTCCCTACGGCTACGAGTACCTGAAGGAGCTCAAGCCTGACCTATGTCTCGATATCGCGAAGCAACGTCTCATGTATTCCTTGAACAAGTCTCCGATGAGCGACGAAGTGGTCGGTGCGACAGGAAAGGAGCCGAGCGTCCGCTTATTGGAACTACTCGTAGAGGCTTGTCCAGGTTCCAGCGTCGCGCTCTTGCTGCTCAGCAAGGCTAGGATGCAGAGCGCGGACTACGAGAACGCGTTGAATCTGCTCAGGAAGTTGCTGGACACGGTGGAGCCGTCTAACGCTCAAGCGCATCTCGCGATGGCGCAGATCCTAGCGTATCAGGGCAAGTATCAATTAGCGTCGCAGAGTCTCGAGGTCGGTCTGAGCTACAACTTTAAAATCAGAGAGGAGCCGGTATATCATTTGATCACTGGTATGGTACAACGGGAGGCTGGCGAACTAGATAACTGCGTGAAGAGCTGTCAAACAGCCATGTCTTTAGCCAATTTGGGCGCCAACAGAAAATTCGACATGTCCACGTCGGACCGAGCAACGTTGTACCTGGAACTGATCGCGGCGTATAGCAAGGCGAAGCGGTTCGCCGAAGCGTTGGCGCTCGTCGACGAAGCGAAGTCGAATCTTGCCGGCACCAGTGAGATAGGAAGAGTCACGATCGGCATCGCGGAGGTGTATCTGGACATGGGCGAGTTGGAGAACGCTGTTGGCTGTTTACAGAGTATCGGTCCAGGGCAGCCGTACTACTTACAAGCGCACACTAGATTGGCCGAGATCAACTTGAATTACAAGAAAGATCGTCAAGCGTTCGCGAAGTGCTTCAGGTACAAACGATTCGACTTCTGATTATATTGTAATTAGGTGAGATAAATCTTAGATTAAGTGTTGACGTTCATATACGTTTTCTAGAGAATTGGTGGAACATCGTCCTGGCCCGAAGACTTACAGCATGCTCGGTAACGCCTATATGTCTATACAGGAACCCGAAAGAGCAATAGAGGCGTATGAGCAAGCTCTCTCTCAAAATCCAATCGACAAAATGGATATTGCGAATAAGATGGGCAAGGCGCTCATTAAGGCACATCAATACGCAAAGGCAACCAGTTACTATAAAGATATAGTGAAGCAGAACAATTGCGGCGCTCTAAAGTTAGACCTGGCTAACTTATATATGAAAATGAAACAATATGATAAAGCGGAAGGGACATTGGTACAAGAACTACAAGGTAATTTTTTACATAAGTCGAGTTTTTTAATTCATCAATGGATCCATCGCATGATGCGCAAATACAGCGTTTCGCTGTATTTATGCAATGGATCCATCGATGAATTAAAAAACTTGCCCATAATAAAACATTAAAACATTCAATTATAGATATTGAAATCAACTAACTATGTTTGACTGACTTGTCATATTTTTAATTTTAAAATAATATTTAAATGAAATAAAATTTAAATGATATTACTATAATCTTATCATTTTTTATTTAGACAGACGAGGCGACTCAGATATTCTGAGCCTGGAGATGCGAGGACAAGAACTATTGCTACTTGCTAAAGTGCGCGAGAAATCAGGCAACGTTAGGGGTGCTTTGGCGACATTAAAAGAAGCTAAGGAAAATCAACACAGGTATATCCAACGTCTTGCCGTCTCGCCAGACATCGTCGATCAGAGACACATGTTGGCGAACATCTGTCTCACAATGGCTGATTATGCGACAACCTTGCGTAGTTACGATGAAGCTATCGTATATTATAAAGAAGCTCTGTCTCATAAATCTACAGATGTAAACGCTCTTTTATCTTTGGCGAAACTCTATATGCAGGTAAATAGAGTGTTCTTAGATTTAGAAATTTTAACGTTCAAATTAAGAGAGATTAGATTTTAATAAAAATATTAATTGAGTAATAGCTTGTTTTTTAAGCATTAAGTTGTACATTTCTTATAATTAATTTTAAGAACTACATGTGTAGAGATTTTTTTTAACAATTTAATATTGATGAATTTATTTATTAGATAAATAAATGTCTTTTCTATTTAAACGTAAGTTTAAAGCTTAGTAGAGTAAGTTATTAAATCTTAATCTCCGAAAGGAGTGCTAATGGTAAATTTGTTTGTTAGATGAACAATTTGGACCGATGTGCGCAAAATTGTTCGATCCTATTAAACGCCGAACCCAATAATGAAGCCGCATCTGTGATGATGGCTGATCTTGCATTCAGAAAGGTTGACTTCGAGACTGCAGCGTTTCATTTCCGACAGTTGCTATTACGTCAACCGACTTATTGGACCGCTTTGGCGAGACTGATTGAAGTTTCGCGCAGAACAGGTATCGAATTCTCCCAATTTTTCATTCTTTCTAAGTATCTCAGTAAAATTAATTCAATATTATGTTGTAGGTGCTATGGATGACCTGGACGAGTGGCTGCAACGCGCGCAGGCCGCGATGGGCGCAGGTAATGTCGAAGCTGGTTTTTACTATTGTGCTGGACTCTTAGATTGGCGAATAGGCAAGTTGAACTCCGCATTGCGAAACTTCAACTTTGCGCGACGCGATCCGGAATGGGGACAGCAGGCGATTTACAACATGATCGAGATCTGTTTGGATCCTGACGATGACACTACACTGTCGAACGAAGCGTTCAACGATGAGGATGCAGAGTATCAGGACTCAAGAACGATGGCTTTAAGAACGGCCTATCGATTGCTTCAGGTATCCTATTAATATTAAGTCAAGTTTCTCCATTATTAATTATTTAAAAATCAAGTGATTATTATTATTGTTTTTCGTTTTTATTTTTGAAATACAGTAATAATATGAGAACGCGGATGATACAGTCGAGACATGTTATTGCAGGAATTGAATCCCAAAGGAAGTCCTCACGAGGTACTGACCCACAAACTTCTCAGCGACTTCTTCCTGTTGGCCACCAAGCAAAAATCTAACATCGAAAAGGCCCTGCAGGATTGCACCGCGTTAGCAAGTCAAGATGCTCTTCGAGATCACGTAGGTCCCGCTCTTGGCATGGCCACCGCTCATATCTTGCTGAAACAAACGCCACGTGCCAGAAATCATTTGAAACGTGTCAGTAAGAATGTCTGGACGTTCGAAGACGCCGAGTACTTGGAACGTTGCTGGCTGTTGTTGGCGGATATCTACGTGCAATCCAACAAATACGACTTGGCGAATGAGTTGTTGAAACGTGTGCTGCAGCATAACGCCACCTGCGTGCGAGCTCACGAACTGTCAGGTAAAACACAGAAAAATAAAAGTTATTGAATTATATTAATTGATAATTATTGTAACCAGCTGGCAATTATTTTATTTATTATACAACATCAAAGTTTGTGAGAATAATTATGAGTGCGGATCTGTCGATTATTATTATCTATTTAATAATCTGGATTGTCACAGGATCCATGTTAGACGATCTGTAATTTACATTTATAATACAACCATGATTTAACTATTTCTTTACTTTTAGGCTACATCGCTGAAAAGGATCAGTGTTATCGCGAAGCTGCTACGAAATACGCTCAAGCCTGGAAATGTGGCGGGAAAACGAAGCTGTCGGTTGGTTATAAACTGGCTTACTGTTGCTTGAAAGCGAAAGCGTATGCTGACGCTATCGAAGCTTGTAACGAGGTATTGAAGCAGAGCATAGATTTCCCGAGGATCAGGAAAGACATTTTGGAAAAGTGTATCAATAATCTTCGCACGTGAAGTTTAGATTTGTTCTACTTGGACTTGTGTATTAGTCGATCATTTAGACTGTTGTATTATACATCGAATATATCCATTGCTTTTTCATTTTTCACTGAAAATTTGACAAACTAAAATATTCAGTATAACAGTACTCGTAATTTAGCGCTTGGTAAGACACATAATAAACGCACGAAATGAAATAAGTGTAGATATACGAAATATAGATATACGAAATCGCTTGATGTTAGGTGAACGAACGAATAATACAATTGTCGATTAAATTATTGATCAATGGTTGTCCGTGATGATCAGTTCGACGTGTGCCCACCGTTATACGAATCCACGCAGCTGAAGTTAGTATCCAGAGTCCAAGCGAGTTAGTCGACAAACGAGATTCACAAATCCAGATACATGATCTGCGTGGCGGACGCAGCGCCGCACATCGCCAGGACACTGGCTATATACACCACCGCCGCCGTGGTGCCGGACAAGCTGACAATCGTGCCTAGACAGCAGGACAACAGGAATTGCGCGAGGAAGACCATGGAGGAGACGATGGCGACATCGGTGCCCAATCCACGCACGAAACCGCCAGTAACCGTGTCCTCCTTCGTCGCAAGCGCGAACGTCGAAGATGCGTGATAATGCGCCACTAATAGATAGGGCATGGTGAATAGCGTGGAGTACATGACACCGGCGGTCCATGAGAAAACGATAACGCCGACTGGATGTTTCATCAGGGCCATCAGTAGCATTCCAGCACTATAGAAGAGCAGGCCATAGATGTAAACCTGCGTACACACACACAGAAAGATAGCACTCAGTGGAAGAGACATCAATAAATTTACAAGAATATTATGTATTACGTTATAGAAGAGATTTGGGGGAATAAGGGCCTATAGAACTACTAACATGGATGACGTAGTGTTATAAAACTAGCTATAAAGCTAGTATCTATCTTCACTTATGTAGAGGTAAAAAAAATTGTATTTATTCAAATAACCAAATGGTTATAATCTTTTGATGAATAGATCTGCCAATGAGATCAGAGTATTAATAATGTTATCAAAATATTTGATGATTTTATCTAATTACTTATTATTCAGAATTATTTACTGTTTAATTTTATACTTGATTCTATAATACAATTCTTTTCTATAAAGAAGAATGTTATATTTTAATGGTTCTTATTGATAAATCAAGAACTTGGGGGAATAAGGGCCTATGGAACCACTAACACGGATGACGTAGTGTTATAAAACTAGCTATAAAGCTAGTATCTATCCTCACTTATGTAAAAAAATTATATTTATTCAAATAACCAAATGATTATAACCATTTAATTTGGTTTTTGATTTA